GATTCGTAAATGGTTATCGCCCAGTGAGATTATTTTTTGAGGCGCTTTCCTTCCTCTTGGCAGGCTGGCGGTGCTTTAAACATGCGTGCTGGGCTTCCCCCCCCCCCCCCCGCCCCAACTCCAAACTAACACCACAGAGCTATAAAATATGGGAAGGACACAGTCGGAGAGGACTCAGGGACTCAGGCTTTATCACTAGGAAAAGAAGCGGCAAGGCGACTCCTTTGAGGAGTTCGCTTTGAATCAAGCGACCGAGGTGATTGGCTGCGAAGCACGTGGTGCGCGCCCCGCCCGACCTGGCGGGGGTGCTGCTGCTCCCGGGAGCGTGGGGCAGAGTCCGGCTGCGGGTGCTGCACCAGCCGGGGGTGGGAGTGGGAGTGGTAGGACCTAAGGAAAACGCCTGGGGCGCAAGTCTGTCTGGCCCCCTGCCAGTGAGAAACTGTAAGTCCGGGCTTGCCCGATCTGCAGTGTCCCCGGAGTGTCCAAACTTGTGCCCCTTCCCACGCCACTGTCCCCGCTCCGGGTGTGCCGCGGACACCCACTTCGGCTCTCGCCACCCTTTCAGGGTATGTCGTCGGCTCTGGCTGTGTTGGACTCACAGCCAGAGGCTGCCCTCCCCTGAGGTGGGTCCCTCTACTCTCGGGCTTCGCATTAAACGGGCTGGTCCAGAGAGTTACAGACACTCCGACCCGAGAAAATTTGTTTTATTCGCGGTCCCCGAGGGTTTGCAGCTGCTAGTGGCTGAGACGACGCGTCCGCTTTGTCTTTCTCCACTTCTACGCAGCCCTCTTCCCCCTCCCCACTTCCTCTCTCGATTAACTCCCCCGAAACGCTCTTCCCCATCTCCCTTCCTCCTCCTCCGCCGCCGCCGCCGCCGCCGCCGGCAGCGCTAATGCGCTTCCTCCCCTCCCCGGGTGTCATTCTCTTTGCATACGCGCCCCCTCCCTCTCACCACTCCTCTCCCCCAGTTCTCCCCTCCTCTCCCCGCCGCCGTTGCCGCCGCGCGACTTAAAACCCGGCGCTCGGTGGCCGGGCGCAGACTGCTCAGGCAGCCAGAGAGGAGTCGGATCGCTGCGGCGCCGCAGAGACCGAGCCCAGACGCCAGGCGGCCGCAGCTCGCTCGGCGCTTTCTAGCTTCCTCCCGCGAGCGCATAGCCCGCCTCCTTTCCGGGCGGCTGCTGCCGCCGGCTCTCTGTCCTCCCGAGACACGATCCGGGAGACGCTCCGCGGGTCCGCGGTGCTGGGACAGTGAGGCCGAGGCAAACCGCCATAAGTGGCCGGCCCCGCGAGCCAGCACCCCCGGCGTGGTCCGCTGCATGAGCACTCCTTCCGCAGTCACTGCCGCTCCCCGGGGCTGAGACGCCCACTTCGTCACCTCCCTGCCGGGTCACCGAGGCCAAAACAAGCCGGCTGTGCGCGGAGGCCAGTCGCCACCGCTGTAAGTTTCTCCCCCCTGTTGCAGACCTGTTGCCGGAGCCGCGGGCTTTGCAGGGGCTGCTTGGGCTGCGGGGGGGTGTTCACGAGGGGTGTGCTTGCGAGGGGTGTGCGTGCTCGCCGGAGCCTCAAGCTCAGCGTTGGGGGAAGCTCTTTCCGTTGCAGAGACCGGGGTGCACGCTGCTGCTCTTGCACAGGAAGCAGGAGCTTGGCATCCCCGGAGGAGCCGATTGGGCTCCCCGTGGCGGCGCAGCGCCCGGGCAAGTTGAGGGGGGAGCGAGGAATCGAGGCAAGGTAAGATCAGCCTCCTTCCTCCGCAGAAAGTGCGCTTCTCTATATGAGTGGATGTTCAGCTGCCTCGCTCCCGCAGCCTCCGGTTTGTGACCCACGTTGCACCCTACCCGGCTCGGGGAAGAGGTGAGACTACTCGCAGACATCACAGGCGGGCACTTTCAAGCGGTGGAATGTTTGTAAGGAGTGGATGAAAACTGGTTTGTGAAGAACTAGTTTCTTCTCTTGCAAGTATATGGCTTTTAATGTAACTTCATTAATTTCAAAGGATAGGACTTGGTGGGCGGGGTGGGAATGAAACATTGAATTTGTCCGACATGCAATTGGTTATTGCCCTCACAGGCATAGCCAGCGTGTTAAAAGAACATTGCAAGTGTTGTATGGGACTATATGGAAAAATACTTTTATTTATAATGTTTTTCCACTGTCATCACTAACTTAAATGCTGGAGAAAATCTGCCTGGTTTCTCCTTTCAATTGAGATCACATTCAATACTGAAGGGATGTGACTGGGACGCTAAGTATTGGAGGCAGAGGGCGTGTGAAAGGAGCATTAAATGAACTGAAGTTACTGTAACTAGGAGCACGTTTGATGTTGACGATAATAGCAGCCCTTTTCTCAGTCTTCTTTGTAGACGCAGGTTTAGTATATGTGTGCATTTTCTTGGCCACCTCTTGGCATGCAAATGTTATTTCTCTGGGGGCTTAAAAAACGCCAGAAGGATGATTCATTTTATGTTTAAGGTGTGTTTAGTGACTGTGTAAATGGCTCATGGTTTGATGTTTGCATAATTTTAAACCAGAAAGCGTGTCATTTCCCTTGGGTCTACAAGTTTACGTTTTATATTAATCAAACATCATTGCAAGAAATGTTAGGTTTCCACTGTGGCATGCTTTTCCATCTGGATGGTGTCCAGGATGACATGCTGGGCCCTTTCTCCTGGCTTTGTGTGCCAACCTGGGAAAAACAGGCGCATGAGCGCAGGATGCAAAGAGATACAGTTGTTCCTATTTCTAAGGTCTTCTGAACAAACTGTTTTTCTTAAGTGTAGGTCTGGTTGTTAATGTTGCTTTCCCCTGCCCAAAATCGAATGCCTTCTGGGGCGGGGGGCCCTGCTAGCTAGCTCAATGTGCAAGCGCTTTGGTACTAATACACCTGGGTGCAGCAGAGCACTGTTCTTCCGTGAGAGCTGCATTTGCATAGCTACCCATTGCAAATTTTTCTAAGTTTCTGTATTAGGCATAGCAGTATTTATATAGTCTTTTGAAGTTTAGGCTTAAAGTTTTTCTTAAAATACATCAAATTGAATGTGTTAATTAAAATGACAACTAAGTGGTAGAGCATGAGAGAGGCTAATATGTGTCTTAATACTTTGGGAGCCTGATGCATTCACTTAGGTTTGTATTTGTGTTCCCCGGAATATTGAACAGGGATTAAAATGGACTAGGCAATGGAGGCGTAGCTTGAGATGGGGTCCATATTTGACTCCTAATCATTTTCATATCTCAAGCCACTGTGTAGACCGAATCATACCTGGGTGCTTTGTGTAAAGCTTTCCAAGCACCAGAGCCCGAGAATTTTCTTGTTTACTTTCCTCCACTGAGCTGTGTGTACTCATAACTAGAAGTTACATTTCAAAAAGAAAACAAGTTGCATCACCTAATGCTATCTGGCTGTGTGCCAAGATGGCATGCGAAACACCCACCTTTGTTATTTTCTGTATCTGCCAAGACTGGTCAAGAGAAGTGCAGTTCAGAATTTTAGCACATGAATTTGTGGTTAATCATTAATTTGCATTTATCGACATGCCTAGAATAGAAATTAAACAATAAATACCTGGATCCTGAAGGAAACACTGAGACCACGAGTTTCAGTTCTGCTGTGAGGGCTGCCTGTTCCAGGGTTGGAAGAGACACTGAATCTATACAGTTTACCCTCCTGGGATAAACAGATTTGACAGTCAGGCTCTTGAGGGCTTTATTCCTTTGGAGTAACCAAGGGGTAGTGTAAAAAGGGCATGCAAGTCAATTTTTGTAGATAAATGATAGGAAAGGTCAGGGTGACATTTCCTGTATTTTTACCCTACAATTTCTTTACTAAAGAAAGTCAAAAGATAGCATTACATTTTGCTATAATTACATTTTAGTTAACTGAGGAAAGGATGTTAGTCAGCAAGTAAATTCTGGGGTGGCCCTCATGTAACAAATATATTTGCAAAGTATATGATGCACACACCTATACATATGCATATCTGTGTATGTGTGAATTTTTTAACAGTGTTTGTTTGAGTTTTGAGCCCCCTATGTGCATTTGCAGGTATACAAGAACAGTCCTAGTAGTACACCATTGAATCAAAAGAGAGGGGTAGATGGATCCTTTGTTCTTGCAACTGGTTTCCAAGAATTGACATAAAGCAGGAAGAACAGAAAACCAGCACCCATTAGTATGCTACTCAAATCATTCTTGCTATTTTGTGCCCAGATCCTCATTTTGAAAGCTGTCCAGAACAAGAAGGATCTGTGGTGACAGTGCCTATTGTCTACTCTTTTCCTCTAAGGCTGCTAACCTATGTATGGTGACATTTATGTTAAGGTGCTTCTAGAACTCTGTAGTGGTCAAGCTGTCAGGTTAGAGTGATCTGTGTCATTTAAAGAAAGGTGTGATCATTGCAGAAGTGGCCTAAGCCTATGGTTTTAATCTTAAATTTCCCATTTAGTGAACACCCAGGAAGGCTGGCTCTTACCAGAGGAACTCTTAATGGAATTAATTAGTAGGTGTTTGTTTTTACGCATGGTTTTATGTTGTATAGGGCATGAAAGCAGGTGCCCAACCTGGCTTTATGAGAACAGGAGGCCTGGCATTTTAGGTGACCTGTAGTGAATCAGCTGAACTAGGACAAGGTGGTGTGAGAATAAGACCTTGCCCCTCTTGGCTTTTGCTGACTTAAATTCTCAAGGCCTTCAGTAGCCTGAAAGCTGGCGATCAGGTTTTCCAAGATGAACCTGCTTTGAGCAGTGAATTTTTTTTTTTTTTTTTTCAAACAGTGTATGATTCAAATAGCTCACCAGTATCACAATGAATGCCTTTCCTTATAGGTAATTGTCTCTGACTTTGTACTACAATGGCCATACACTCTTTAGAACAGTAGGCAGCAGGGCTTAACAGCAAAGTGTTCTGTTTGCTTTGTCCACAATGATTGTTGCTTTTGTTCTGCTGTCCTGGACATCAGGGGCATCACAGTCAATGCTTTTGTTTTGTTTTTTTTTAGGAGTGGAAACAAAATGTCAGTCAGTGTGCATGAGAACCGCAAGTCCAGGGCCAGCACTGGCTCCATTAACATCTATCTGTTTCACAAGTCCTCCTATGCTGACAGTGTTCTCACACACTTGAACCTTCTACGCCAGCAGCGCCTCTTCACTGATGTCCTCCTCCACGCCGGAAACCGAACCTTCCCCTGCCACCGGGCTGTGCTGGCTGCATGCAGCCGCTACTTTGAAGCCATGTTTAGTGGTGGCCTGAAAGAGAGCCAGGACAGTGAAGTCAACTTCGACAACTCCATCCACCCAGAAGTCTTGGAGCTGTTGCTTGACTATGCATACTCCTCCCGGGTCATAATCAATGAAGAAAATGCAGAATCGCTCCTGGAAGCAGGTGACATGCTGGAGTTTCAAGACATACGGGATGCATGTGCAGAGTTTCTGGAAAAGAACCTGCATCCCACCAACTGCCTGGGGATGCTGCTGTTGTCCGATGCACATCAGTGCACCAAGCTGTACGAACTCTCCTGGAGGATGTGTCTTAGCAACTTCCAGACCATCAGGAAAAATGAAGATTTCCTCCAGCTGCCCCAGGACATGGTGGTACAGCTCTTGTCCAGTGAAGAGCTGGAGACGGAAGATGAAAGGCTCGTGTACGAGTCTGCAATTAACTGGATCAGCTACGACCTGAAGAAGCGCTACTGCTACCTCCCAGAACTGTTGCAGACAGTGAGGCTGGCTCTCCTGCCTGCCATCTATCTCATGGAGAATGTGGCCATGGAAGAACTCATCACCAAGCAGAAGAAGAGCAAGGAGATTGTGGAAGAGGCCATCAGGTGCAAATTGAAAATCCTACAGAATGATGGGGTAGTAACCAGCCTCTGTGCCCGGCCTCGGAAAACCGGCCATGCCCTCTTCCTGCTGGGAGGACAGACTTTCATGTGTGACAAACTGTATCTGGTAGACCAGAAGGCAAAAGAAATCATCCCCAAGGCTGACATCCCCAGCCCAAGAAAAGAGTTCAGTGCATGTGCAATTGGCTGCAAAGTATACATTACTGGGGGGCGGGGATCAGAAAATGGGGTCTCAAAAGATGTCTGGGTTTATGATACCTTGCATGAGGAGTGGTCCAAAGCTGCACCCATGCTGGTGGCCAGGTTTGGCCATGGCTCTGCTGAACTTAAGCACTGCCTGTATGTGGTCGGGGGGCACACAGCTGCAACTGGCTGCCTCCCGGCCTCCCCCTCAGTCTCTCTAAAGCAAGTAGAACAGTATGACCCCACAACCAACAAATGGTCCATGGTGGCCCCACTCCGAGAAGGTGTTAGCAATGCGGCAGTAGTGAGTGCCAAACTCAAGTTGTTTGCTTTCGGAGGTACCAGTGTCAGCCATGACAAGCTCCCCAAGGTTCAGTGTTATGATCAGTGTGAAAACAGGTGGACGGTACCAGCCACTTGCCCTCAGCCCTGGCGTTACACAGCCGCAGCCGTGCTGGGTAACCAGATTTTTATCATGGGGGGAGATACAGAGTTCTCCGCCTGCTCTGCTTATAAATTCAATAGTGAGACTTACCAGTGGACCAAGGTGGGAGACGTGACAGCAAAACGCATGAGCTGCCATGCTGTGGCCTCCGGAAACAAACTCTACGTGGTTGGAGGATACTTTGGCATTCAGCGATGCAAAACCTTGGATTGCTATGATCCAACTTTAGATGTGTGGAACAGTATAACCACAGTCCCATACTCACTGATTCCTACTGCGTTTGTCAGCACCTGGAAACATCTGCCATCTTAAGTGCAGTGCATCCTAAATAGTATGAGGTAAGTCCCTTTAGCTGAGGTTGAAGTATGCAGACAATGAATTTGGTTGTGTGGCGTTCATTATGTGAAGTGAAGCATATCCATGTAGCCTTTCCTACAAAAGCACTCCAAAAACTAAAAAGACCTTGCGCCCTAGAACTGAAGTGCTTGTATCAAGCACAGCTGTGACCCCTCTTTCTCCATAGCATAAGGCAGTGGTTCTTAGTCCTCACTGCCTTCAGGAGCTCCCAAAGAGATTTGGTTTCATTTGGTCTGGGGTGAGGTGCAGGCATGAGTGTTTTTAGAATGTTTTCCAAGTGAGTCTAATGAACTCCCAGCCAGTGTTAATGCAGCCATCAGAGTGTGCCTGCAACTGCCAGGAGTTCACATGGCTCATCTCACTTGATTCTCGTAACAACCTTGTGAGGTATTATTATTATTAGCCATGTTTTATGAGTGAAAAAAACCTGATGCACCCAGGGAGTGAATAAATTGCCCAAGGTCATAGAGCTTTGTAAGTGGTGACATTGGTAAGATTTGAATCCAAGCAGTCTGGCTCCAGAAGGTGGTAAGCTTTTGGACATTGTGCCAACTGCCGTTTAAATAAACTTGTGCTTCATATTGGTGTCATCTTACGAGGTACTTTGTTAATACTCAAATTTGACCTCCTTAGTCCCTTTTGGAGTGAAACCAACCAAACCCACCAACCAGTTGCCCTCAAGTTGACTGTTACGAGGTACTTTGTTAATATTCAAATTTGACCTCCTTAGTCCCTTTTGGAGTGAAACCAACCAAACCCACCAACCAGTTGCCCTCAAGTTGACTGTAACTAATGACAACTCCATGTGTTGCAGAGTAGAACTGTGCTCCATTGGGTTTCAAAAGCTGTAATCTTCTGGAAGTAGATTCCCAGGCCTTTCTTCCCAGGTTCCTCTACGTGGATTCAAACTGCCAACCTTTTGGTTAGTAGCGGAATGCTTAACTATTTATGCTTCCAGGGACTCCATTTTGAAATGAAAAACCAAAGAAAGAAAAACCACACCCACTACCATCAAGTAGATCCTGACTCATAGCCACCCCCACTGGGTTTCTGAGGTGGTGAATCTTTACGGAAGTAGATTGCCCCACATGGAGTGGGTGGTGGGTTTGAACCACCAGTCTTCTAGTTAGCAGTCAAATGTCTAAGGCACTGCACCACCTGAGCCCCTTTTTTGAAATGAAGTAGGATTTAAATAACTTGAGTGCTTAAATTCATTCCTAGTTTATTCTCTCCAAAATTAATTTATTAGCTTATTTAAATATTTTTTCCTTTAAAAAAAAAGCTGTCTTTATGACATTTGTTAGAGTAAAATCTAGGCCTGAACTTGTAAGGTGGCACCTGCCTTGTATAAATTTGTCTGTGTGTATATACAGAGCCTTCTAAATTGCCCTAACTCCAGCCTTTCAGGGTTAATCAGTCCAGCTGACCCTATTGTCAGGGCTCTAACAAAAGTTGTGTTTCTGTGTCATGTATCTGAGTACATAATGGTTATCTTATATACTTAAGAGCATATAAATACTCTTGGCTCAAATAATTAATAGGGCTGCATAGTTCACTGTTCTCAACCAGACACACTGCTTAATGACCGCTCTGCTACTGTTAAGCATTCTTAGGATTTGCCCAGGAATCACTTAAGCATGTGGAAGTGTGGTACAGACTTGTTGATTTGTTTTGGTGATTCATGGTCTTGTGACTAATAGGAAGAAGAGAAAATAAAAACTTTCTGCTTTGGAGGACCCATGGTAAAAACTAACTCAGTACTTGGAAACTTTGGGCTATATTTCCCCCAGTATGCCTCACATTTTGAAGGAGACTTCATAGGGGAAAAAGGAAATCTCAGGGTAGTTAGGCTAAGCAGAAAGGGGTTTCATCTCATTTGTCTTTCCTTTCCCCATCTCTTACAGCTCATATGAAAAACGCCATTAAAATTGGCCTCGCTTTCATATTTAATCTTCATATTTTTTTTTCATGTCTTCAGTTATCTCCTCCAGCCTATACAGTTAAGCAAATATTTTCTTGGACTGAAACCCCCTTCAAAGGAGCAGAAACAGTCAGCAACATCCTCTGGGGAGCAACTGGGCTAACAGCATCACACACCAAACTGGTTTTTGCAGCCTTGCTGGTATCTTCATAGTCCTAAATAAACAAATGCTCTGAAAGTGGTAATTTCATTTTCTATATGAATGCATGATTCAACTCTAAAGCAGGTTTAAAGAACCTCCTAGGTAAAAGCATCAATTAATAGCACATGAAGTTGGACGTTAGGCCAGCAGTGACTATATTTACACAGGACCACCTTAAAAATTGCCAGTGATGGTAGCAGATACATTAAAATGGTAACTGGTAGACTAGCTGGCGTCCTTGGAGCAAGGTAAGGAAAGAGACAGAAAGGAGAGAGACCACATATACGTTCTATTTTTAAGCTGTGGACTCTGGATCTTTTTGTACTTCAGTTGGGTCCTCTGTCAAATGAGTGGTTTCAACTACATACTTCCTTTAAGATCTGTCCCAATTCAGACTTGGGTAGAATTGGTAAAGGAGGGGGGCGCTGGGGAAGAAGAAGAAGAAATACCTAGCTCAGTGCCTGGCATCTATTAAATATTCAACATTCTTTTTTTTCTTCCTCCCTTCAATTTAGACCCTGGCTTCCTCTGAGATACAGCAGTGGAATAAGCTTTGTGTGTGGTGGGAAAATGAGATTTCTTTGACTATTACATACTTGTCTCCTCTCAACTTCATTTTTTTTGCTTCCTTTTTCACTCCTGAGCGAGTATATTAGCAAACACTTGAATCCATCCTATCCTGGATATTGGAACCTAATTACACACTTCCGGTCCTTGGGACATGGACCAAATAAAGTGATACATTATACGTGAAACAACATCCTCCCATCCTTGGTGCTGCCAGCGAGAGAGAGTCGAGCACATAAAAACTCAATTTGATGAGGCCAGGTTCGCTGCTTTTAAAGGGTGGTGTAAGTGCCTGATCAAAGCCACTCTTTCTGTTTCCGCTGGGGAGGATGTTGGTTTAAATTTCTAAAGTTTACTGTACAAAGATAGTGTTAAAACACTGAAGCTGGATGGAGGGACTTAAAAGAGTTGCAGGGTAGGTACCTGTGCTAAGCTGCAGAAACCTCTCAGCGACCACCCCCCTTTGCTCTCCAAATGGATATGCTAACCAAATTAATACACTGTTAACTCAAAAGTTCTCCTAGGTCTAAAAGCTCATCCACCAAGGAGATTTTAACTGTGTCCTGCTGCTTTGTCAGTGGGTGGGAGGGACAAAAAGGAAATTACTTTAGCTTATCCTCCATGTTTATGGCTCTGTGTGGCCCCAACCTGCCAGCCCTTGAGTTTTCATCTGCTTTGTTTCTTCCCTTTTAGGTTTTTCTTTTTCCATTTGAATATGCAACAGCTTGAAATGTCTAATTATTACATGATACATTCTTTTGGTGTAATGTTGGCATATATGTTACAAGGAGTGGGGTGGGGAGGGATGACACCATAGTCTAAGGAATGCCTTGAAAGTTTGAATCACTGTTAATGGAACAGCCAAAAGGAAAGCTAATGAAATGAATCAGACTTGTGAACACACAAAAGCAAGAATTCAGTGCAAGTAATGAGTTGTTCCTCCTGAATTCCCTTTGTACTTAGGGTGATAGCAATAGGAATACAGATTCTTTAGCTAACGCTGGACATGTGCTCCCTGAACAGATAGTGTGGTTTGCAAAGACAAAAAGCCTTCTGTAAAATTCTCTTCTATGAAGTCAGAGGGAAACACGTGGGAAGGGTAGGTAGTGTTTGAGGAAACTCAGGCTCCCATGGATATGCAGGCTTTGTGGGTATGGGATTTTAATTTATATCCATGCTCCATGTTGGTAATTGTGTAGCTAACCATGCTGGCACACTGTAGCCGTTGTCTCCTAAGTGTGGACTGATGAACTTTGAGAATAAATTTCAGCTTTGGGCTGTTGAGGCCTGGTATATTGTCATGTGAAAGGAAGCGAGACTGATTTCTGCCATAAAGAATAGCAGAGATGCATTTCAATAAGGGGATTACTATGTCTGTTTTCTGTATGGTGAATACATTTCGTTTGGAGTCCTTTATGGTAAGTGGGCCAAGGAGTGTTTGGGTTTGCACAGGAATCTCCTTCCTTTGACCCCCATAGTGATCACTTTCCAGTGGCTGTGGTTAACCATGGAGAGGAATTATTCCTTATGACTGCAACTCATAATAGCTTCTAGACATAGAGGTTTGAATTTGAGCACATAATGTGTTTAGGAAAGATGTGAAAGGCCTTCTTTGAATTTTGGATGCCGTTGCTCTTAAATATTTCTAGCGTACATTTAAGGACATAATGTTGCCCAGCTCAGTTCTGAGTTTAATTTTTATTCAAATAATTTTAAGACTGCTAACACAGATCTTCTTACTACTATAGCGTCATACAGATCCTTCATGCTTTTTTCTCCCCCCATTTTAGCTCACTCCATCACTTGGCAAGACAATACGAGATTTCTACTTTGGAGAAGCCGAAGTGTAATGAAGAGAAAGAAAAGCAAAAGGAGAAGAAGTTGTGACAAGATGTGAATAATATCCGCCGCACCTTGTAAATGCTCTCACTGGACATGAAGGCAGAGGGGTGGGGGAGGGAGTGGGATTTTCAGTGCAAGTCGCGCACGGTTTAAATATGAACGAATGAACCTGTGATCTAGTCCTTGTCTTGTAATTGTGGATTAATGTCAGCGTTAATCAGCCCCTTAAAGGGAGAGAAAAGTGGACCTTTTCCCTTGGTGTACCATATTCAGCATTTGATTTCCATGGGCTCCTCCATTTATGTGTGTAATTTGAAATGGTTGTCACCTCTCTCTGCGGAGCCAGCCTGAAGCCTCCACACCAGCTGCTGCTGGAGGCCTGGCAGATTCAAAGCCCGACTGGGATGAGGAGGGAAGCTGGCTGGAGAACGAGGACCACTTGG